CTGCGCCCGGAGACCGTCGTCTTTCCTCAACGAGATTTTTGTCGGTCGCCTGTCCCTCCGGGGAAATTCGGGGATGGTGACCACGGTGTCTTCCTTCCCCATCCTTTCCAGTTCATTATTTATTTCTGCGTTGTCTAGTGTGAGCTCCTGTCAGCGTCTTTAATTAAACAACTAATGAACTAAGGCGCTTGCTAGGCAATGTGGCGAAAGTCGTCTACCTTATGGTGGGAAACTCCGTTGTCGCCACAAGCAGCTGTTTGCAGAGTAATTTATGTGTACCTCATACGTTCTTAAGAGGAATTTCAATGCGTTTCCTTACTTTTTTTTGTTTAGTGTTCTGTCTGACGACAGGTCCATATATTATGAACAGGATCCTTCCATCCCCTTAAGGTTGTCAGGGCCCTGCTCATACTTACGAGGTGCGATCGGAAAGTTTCAAGACTGCGCCTATAAAACCCGTACACTTATCTCAGGTATTAAATTCATCCATCACCCTCGAAGTAGTTCCCCTGGGAGTGAACACAACGATCCCAGCGCCGCTGCCAAGCCTGGAAGCATCCCTGGAAATCTTTCTTTGTCAGCCTGTCAAGCACCATCTGCGATTCTGCCTGAATCTCTTCTATCGCCTCAAATCTCCTTCCCTTTAGCTGAATTTTCATCTTTGGGAAGAGGAAGAAGTCACACGGAGCTAAATCCGGCGAATAAGGAGGGTGCGGGATGACGGCCATGGTGTTTGAGGCCAAAAACTGCCGAACTTTGAAGGCGGTGTGCGCTGGTGCGTTGTCATGATGCGTCGCATGTGGAGTTCTTCCTTTAGAATCAGCTCACAGGTCCCATAGCCTATCCCAACAATGTCGCACAAGTCGTTGATGGTACGACGTCGATATTCGTAACATTTTCGGGCGTTGTGCTCGAAGATGGTCGTCCAGAACGCTCGTCATCATCGACAGAGGTTCGGCCATTTTTAAAACGTGAATGCCACACAAAAGTTTGCGGACTCCCCAAATGCTTGCTTTAGCATTTCATAGGTTTCCGTAGCCGTTTTGGCGAGTCTTTGGCAAAATTTTTCTTATACCGACATTATTATGTTAATGTCTTTTAGCACAGAGCGTTTTCATACGTAATATAAAGATTGTTTCACAGTCTTAAAAAAGATTGAGATGTTTACTGAATACAAATTTTGTCCATTGGGTATAAATAATTGATAGCTCGTACATTTCTTGAGGTAGCTCATCATTATTCTTGTCTCAAAGCCCGTCGACCTATGACGTCTTCCAAATAACCAGAACGGACCTCAGAGAAAAATAATTTCCCACTCCTCTCCTAGTCCCACACTCCAGCAGGTGATTTCTGTGACGCAACAGCGGTGATCTGGTTGTTATGACGCAAGGCCAAGTGATGTGACTAGAAGTCTCTGGTTCGCGACCTTGAAATAAGAAGGGGGCGGATTGAAATATCTCTGCAGGTAGACTTGAGCTAAGAGTGATTTTGCGAATTTTGTGTCATCGTAATGTTATGGGACGTTAATGAAGGGGATTACGAGGGGATGGACATGTAGATTGGGTTGAGGTCTTTTGGACCCAGTGGCTACGTGTTGTTCTGGGGAGGAGGGGGGGGGGTCATGAATTTTGAGTTTAAATACCGCCAAATCCATGGAACGAGTCGTGGAGAAGCTAATAATCGCTTAGCTTGTCAGATTTCCCTTCTTTAAGGCTTTGACGGGGATGTTCTTTTGTTAAATCTTATGTGGTACCGCCTGATTCGACTTCTAATGGTTAAGTGAAGGGTTTTCTTCGCGGTACGGTCTGGATTCGTAAATATTATGAAGACGAGCTTCGGCTTCAAAGGGTTAACCAGCTGATTTTCGTAATGGTGAGGTGTAGTGTTTTCTTAGCGGTACGGACTGAATTCATAAATAATATTCAGACGATCTTCGGCTTCAAAGGGTTAATTACCTCAGAGACGAGACTGTCTTCTGGGATGTTGCGCTTTGTAGTCTAGTATAAATTTACCGACGTTTTTACAAGTGATTCATCCGCCCTGATGATGCAGAAAGTGAGCAATGGGGCAGTTTCTATGGCACAACAAACCAGAAGGCGTTGTGATGACATTAATTTTCATTACCGTGTTCACAAAAGCCCGTCACCGATGTGTGTACCAGAAAGACTGGACTATGAACCCCCACAAGCTTTGCGCATCTCTGGGGCTTCATAATGCGACTGGTGCCCGTCAATCTATAGAGTTTTCAGTATGTCATGTCATTCGCTAGTTGGTGTCCGCCCTTGACTATGCGGGTTTGTTAACCGAACTTCCTGTTTTCTAAAAAAGCCGTGTTGAAAAATGAAATAACAATAAACGCATTGAGGATTAGAGTGGCTTTTGAATTCGTGACTTGCGCCCCTTTTGTATTTCGGTCTGCGGTCCGCTCAAAAACCGCGTTGAAACGCGGCAGAGTTTGTCAGGCCCGGAAGAGGATGGTGCAGCTCTGTAAGTACGCACAGAATTTTGTTATAAATACGCGCTGTGCGTATTGTGCAGAAATGTTGGTTGCTCTGGTGTTGGGAGACCGTGAAACAGTGGAAGATTCGGGTTGTCATGGCGATGAGTGTGATGATATAGTGTGCGATGTTGCGCCGTGTAGCCTGGTAAAAATTGATCGACGTTTCAGTGATGCTGCCTCCATTATCAGGAAATCGCCCTGATGATGGCAGCATGTTTGAAATGTCTGTCACATGGCGCAACATCCCAGAAGACGGTCATCTTTGACTGTATGTCGCTTATGCAGTGATAGAGTGGGACAGACATGAATGCTCGAACGTTCTGCTGGAGAACACTTAAGCATGAAGAAAGACTGTCTTGACCCAAGTTTATGTGGTTTTTGTCTTGCCTTCCATGTATGTGCCATATAAAAGTACCTTAAAATTAGCCAGCGACCATTTCCTTTTATATTCTTTCCATTTCATTATTTATTAATCATGTTCATTAAACACTTCATAGCCTGAACTACTGACAGCGTCATTAAATAAACTAGAAATAAATAAATAAATCTTACATCCTTGCCTTTGAGTTTTCGTGCCTGGAGTTTAATGTGCAACTTTGGTTCAAATGTTGAAGGTTATCAGACGTTTCGGTAAACACTGCAGTTATCAACACATGTGACACGTTAATCCTGAAGATAGCAACAGCAGTAGTTGCCAAAATGTTTGATAACCTTCAACATTAAATGTGGCTCCTCCCCAAAAACTGTAGTCGCACATGAAACTCTTACGTGTTGATGTTGATGAAGCGCGAAGGTGGGACAACCTTTGATGGTATAATGTATGGTGTAAGTAGCATAAAAATGTGTCGTTCGTTTGGACAATTGGTATTTTTGAGGCCTGTGGCTTTGTAGAGTGGGTACTGAGAGCACTTTGCCCAGCCAGGATGTGAGACTGTACATTCACCTTTAATGTAATGGAAAGGTGCATTACGTTTTGCCATCTGACCTCATGACATTCTGTTTTTCTTGCAGTGTGAACTGCAGCTGTTGGAGATCCATGTCTGTGTGTGATATCACAAGGTGGTAGCAGCGGTCTGAAATGCTGTGTCGACGTCGCTTTGTGGTGCTTGGCGTCCTGCTTCCAGTAGCACTGACTTTCTTCGCGTTCAATGTCCGATGGAACAGTTCCGCAAAGAAGGCTACAGTTACGAGACTACGCAACGATCCTGAAGGACCTTTGCGGAAGCTGTATGTGGTGCACTTGGACCTGAAAGGCGCCCCGCCCAGGATGTACTTCTTGAAGGCTCTGTTCCGTCTGATCGCTGCGGCAGGTGCTAATGCGATCTTGGTGGAGTACGAGGATATGTTCCCATTCGAGGGCGTCCTCCAAAATGCGTCTGCTAGAAACGCCTACAGTAGGAAGGAGGTGAGATGGTAATGAGCTGTGCCGATGTCACAGCACAACTGTGTTTAGTGTAGCTGTGATGTTACAATACTGCAACCTGTTCCAGATCCTCCAGATGCTGGGTTATGCGCAGGAGTGCGGCCTAGAAGTCATTCCTTTGGTGCAGACTTTTGGACACCTGGAGTTCATCCTTAAGCTGCAGGAGTTCCGCCACTTTCGAGAACTCTCTGCCTTTCCGCAGGAAATCTGCCCATCCAACCCAGACACATTTTCCGTCTTGGTCCAAGAATTGATCCGGCAGGTTATGTCCCTTCATCCAACTACTAGGTGGCTGCATATCGGCTGCGATGAGGTGTTCCACCTGGCAGCATGCGGGAGATGCACTGGTAGACACATGAATGGCAGGTGAGTAGTCCTAAACTGTGGGTGGCCGCACTTATACAGGGTATTTATTCTCTTGCTGGCTGCTGTGTGGGGCGACAGTTATACAGTGTTGTCTTTTGCAGGCTGTTGTTCGCAGAGCATGTGGCTCGTGTGGCACAGTTTGTGCGCTCTGAGTTTGTGGGTGTCACTCCGCTCATGTGGGATGATATGCTGCGGCACTGGTCATCCACGGACCTGGCAGAATCAGGACTGGGAGAGCTTGTCGAGCCTGTAGTGTGGGTATACGCTGAGAACATAGCACGCTTGTTGCCGCACTACGTGTGGCACATGTATGGGCGCGTGTTTCCGCATGTCTGGGTGGCCAGTGCATTTAAGGGTGCGTATGGTGAGACTGCACTAGTACCTGATCTGCGGCGCCACTCTGAGAACAACCTGGCCTGGCTCCGAATCATGCGGACCACAAAGATCGTACAATTCCGGGGAATGGTGCTTACTGGTTGGTCACGCTACGACCACTTTGCAGTGCTCTGTGAGCTGTTGCCTGTGTCAGTCCCATCCCTGCTACTCAACCTGCTGCTAGTGTTGCACCCTCGTTGGCCTAAACTGCAGGCGATACGTCTGTGGATGCAAGCGCTCTCCTGCCCTCCTACTGTCACCCCAGATGAGTCATTCGTGTCTGACCCCTTCCAGTGGCACCTGGGTGCATGTTCATTTCCTGGCAGTAACCTGTTTTCTGCTGTAGGGAGCTATGTGGCGCTGCAGGCTCGAGCGATGACGCTGTACGCTGATCTGACAGAGCGGCATGGCTGGCTTACCATGTATAATGTGCGCCATAATTTCTCCAGCCCCTGGAGGCTGCTAGAAGCGCATGTCAGTGTCCAGCGACTGTTGCGCGAGTTGACCGCATTCAGAAACTCGACGGCGCACATAATGACACAGTACTTTGACCAATTTGCTGTGGATGAGTGGCTAGAGCAGAAAGTGGACCCTCTGGCCGAGAAGATGGCATCTTTGGAGAACTTTGCACAGAACCTGATTGCCAGGGATACCTGGCCAAGGAGGCCATTAAGCTAACAGCAGGAAGTATGGGTTTGCGTGTCTGTGGTAGTCACATGTTAGGCGGCAGGATTCGTGTTCCAGTCGGGTAAGAGGAATTTTCTCTTCATCTCAGGTTTGTTGAGAATTTTTGTGTAACCTGCCTCCACGTAGTTTTATTTCTGCTGCTGTGGTGCTCTTATTGCAGTTGCGTTGTAGTTTAGACTTTGCCGTCACTAGTCGACACGGATCGTATTAAAGTCTTTTAACTTTTTTTTTCTGAACCAGTTTTGGTTTGAGCACTTGGTGTATTTTTTGTATGTGATGTAATAATTGAGACATTTGAAACAATGAATTTGTTCAATAAATTTGTTAAAAATAAATGTTTTGCTGTAAGTGAGGCATTTTCTTTCAAATGTCTTTAGCTCGGTCTTTGCAGCGGAGCGTTCTGCGTTACATTCCGTGCATGGAGTGAGACGTCTAGTATTAATTCTTGTACCGCTGTGTGATGCAACTTGTTGGTTTGTGATGTAATGATCGCTGTTGATTACAAATAACAAATAACACAATGGCTGCAACCTTGAAGAATGCCTTGTTTTATTGGTTTCCATTCTGTTGAATATTTCTTTTACAGGTTTTTCTCGTACCAGGTATGTAAAATGCACTTTTACTATTTCATAACCATTGTTCTACGTTAGTTTACCATCTGTGTGCTTTTTTTTAAATTCACCCGTGCTAGTCACTATTGTACATACATGGTTATTTTTCTACATGTGTATTCTGAAGAATTCCAGTATTATAAAATCGCCTTTCTCGAAGTCGCTAAATAACCGATTGCTGCATCGTACTCTCTTTCTTGAGTGCGTGACAAATTTAGAATATGTGATCAGTGGTTAATCTCCTAGACGTCCACACTGCTATTCCTTAATAATATTGTCTGTGAATGGCGATTCCTTGATCATTTATAAATTATTGTTGCCAAATTTATAAATCGGCATACATTTTTATGGCGGCATTTCTTTATTCCAGATGGAATGGTGAAGTCTTGTGTACATCAGAGTTTGATGTGTGTAGGGTTTCAGTAGTCAACAAAAGAATTTCAGATGAAATTGTAACCTCAAACTTTTGAAGCTCAGAATCTGTTATTGGGCCCCCACCCCCCCATGAAGCCTGTTCAGAACACCATTAAGTAAATATATAAATTTTGAACATTAAATGTTTGTAAGTAAAAGGCAGATTGGAATGATGTGTATAATTTTTTTTTTTGAAAAGTCTTCAAATGTGTAAACTGTATCCTATATCAGATCCTGCAGTTTACGTCGAATGAATTTCTTGAACATAATTCACCAAATATCAGAGCAAAAAGAGTTTTGAAAAAAAAGGTAAGGAAAATGAAATATTTTAGACTTGGTACAGAGTTTTTGTAGGTCTCGTAATCTTTGACACGGAATTGATTTTTATGCTATTTCTGTATCGAGCAACGGAATACACCAGAATTGTTCTGGTGTGTGTAAAATAGCGTCCCACTGTACGCTGTGGAAGCGCTTAAGGGGAGGGCGGAATGTATAGCCTCGTACTCGTGGGGTTGAGTGGTTAGTGTCATGTCCTGGTCGTACTTACCGTGGAGAAAGGACGTGGTACCTGTTGGTTAGGAGACTGGATGGGCCTCAGAGCCAATCTGGGACACAGGCTAGAAAAAAAATTCTTTGACCCTGCATACACCAGAATGGTGCTGATAATTTACCTTCTGTATTTTTCTAATTCCCTCTGACATTACAAATACCTAATGTTCTGGCTACAAAAATTATCCATTAAACCATAATGGGTTGTTCATATGAGAGTCTCTCTTACACTTTGGGTAGCGCAGTGCTGTAATTTGTTGTGTACGTCCGTATGAAGTTTTTTATATCAGAAGACAAGTTTTATTAATTTCACACTGACAAAGCATGAGGTATTGACAGCCGTTACTCAGGGAAGAGTTCCTTGGATGGAAATTTTTGGTACACCTTGTTGGCAAAATCCTTGAACACAATGCCAAATGCTTCTTCTGGCAAGTATCTGTAAGTGTTAAATGCCTCACGCCAGTTGTCATTCAGAAACCTGTTGGTAGTCTCCCCTGTAATGAGAATAAGAACATGCCAGTTAAGTCCTGTGGAGCCTGTGTATGGAAAATTGTGTGCAGTAGCACAGATGTTACTTTCATTTGTGTTTATATATATAGAAAACCAGTCATTCTTTCTGTAAAAGAAAAATCTTTGAACTTCCTTCCTATCACATTAGTTTACAGCTGTCGAGTGGTACTTTCAAATATTGCCGCTTAGGACAACAAATTTTAATGAATCGTATATATCGGAGATGAAACTAATCAATTCTTATGTATTTTCGTCCGCTAAATTCGAAAATGACTATAAAAAAGCTTGGTTAGTTCGTGTTTTGAAGATATGTTGTACTTTGTAAAATATAACCTATAAATTCGTCCATATGATATGCAAATGTTTAAAAAGTTTTCACCTACATTATGGACGTTGTCTTGTGGCCTTTCTTTTGTATTTTACCTCGGGCATCTCTTACCACCGACCAGCAGTAATCAGCTATCATTGATTCGCTCCATTTCCCCTGATAACGCCTTTCAAGAGTTGAAATATCTTGGTGAAATGTTTCGCCATGTTCATCACTAACCGATCCAAGATTATCAAATGACAGTGGAGGAAATGCATTTTAAGAGACATTGCACCCCATTTTACTGTATTCTTTCAACAATTTGTCTACTAATTCACCATTGTTTGGCGCCCTGTTGTTTCCAAGAAAATTCCCAACAACTGACTTGAAGGATATGACAAAAGTTGTTAGGATTATTGACACATCTACGCGACATTTTGTATATTTTAGTCTAACAAATTTCTCATTCAAGTACTCACAACGACGTTTTTGCTGTTTACTACGTAAGTATTCTAAGACGAAGTGAAACACAAAATCCGCACTGCACAAAACATTTGTTTGCCAAACAGAACTGAACCAATTTATTAATCGTCCTTAGGGATGTTGACTAGACCTACAGAAAGAAATAAAACCTTCTCCACAGGTACAGGTTGTTTCTGAAGTAAGTAGTCCATCACAATTACGAAAATTGAGCGAAACAGCTTGGTATGAATATCTTCGAAATGCGAACAAATCATGCAAAATGAATGTCATTTTCGTGTTTAGCAGCTCAAAATTAGTAAAAATTGGCTAGTTTCATCTCCGATATATTTTGGCTGTTGAATATAAATGCGATGGAGAGAGATGAAAAGGAAATTAAAAAGGCAGATGGAGATGAAGTAATGTAAAACAAAAGGGATATCAACTCAAAAGTATGAAGGAAACAGACGAATAATAAGCAAACGTAGGAAGATCTTACCAAGTCTCTTGTCCCCTCCAAATAGATTGTTAAACTGAAGGCGACAGCCTTCCACAGATATGTCCCACTTCAGTTCCTCCGTCTCCAGGAACTCTTCCCCGTTACGTTCTACCAATTTAATTATCGTGTTAGAGGAGGTCGTCACATCAGCTGGAACATGAAGTGAATACTTTGTGTCTGTCGAAGTTAATTTATATTGAGCTGTAGTTTCCTCGTGGGTAAGGCGGTCGGATCTTGAAGCTAACCACAAAAAGCGTATAAGGTCTGTACTTCCCCATGTGTTTGAATGTCTTGGTGCTTGGTTAAGAAGCAGTTTCTTTACCTTAATTCGTGTTTTTTTTTAGTCTAATCACAATTTTATATAAATAAAATATATACATAATATATTAAAATATCATTTACATATTTGGTACATCTTTTTACTACATGTTTCGGTTAAATTGAACCATCTTCAGGTGAAAAGTTAAAAATTATAATCTTATAAACTAAAACTTAATTACTGTTGTTGTGTAACTTCTGATGATGTTTAATTCCAAATTCATTGGAGCGAGGGTATAATTAAGTTTTAGTTTATAAGGTTATAAATTTTAACTTTACACCTGAAGATGGTTCAATTTAACCGAAACATGTAGTAAAAAGATGTACCAAATATGTAAATGATATTTTAATATCTTATGTATACATTTTATTTATGTACAATTGTGATTAGACGGAAAAAAAACACGAATAATTAAATTTTAATTCACAATATGACGCAATTATTTCAACTTCTTTACCTTAGTTAATTCTCACATGAATCCTAAGACATGACAGGGTGTGTGTGGGCGTGACTTACTGAAATTGAGGACGCAGTCTCCTTTCCCGGTCAGTGGTAACAGCAGTATCTTCCCCTCCATATTGTAGTCGGCGGTGAACATCATGAAAGGCGTCTGCATGACCATATCGATAGTTAGAGAGTCGAGGTCCACCCTGTTCGGAAACAGCAGCTGTGTTAAAGAACTACCTTCAGAGAGCAGCGTATTACTCGGTGTTGATATGATCTTTGACATGATCAGGCTTTTAAATTGTCGCTGTTGGTTTTGGTCAGGGGTTCTTATCCGCGGCCCGCCGGTGTGTTTTGTGTGGGGCCCGTAATTTTTTGTTTGTTTGTAATATGTTGAAATACAGTTATCTGATTTTATAAAACATTTTGTTAATACCGTCAGCGAATCGGCGAAATCAAAGAGCGTGATGTTCAATGATTGTAATTGATTTTTGCAAGTTTTGATCCTCGCTTATGGCATGACTTATTGTGCCTCGAGAGAAGGAGACGTCTCTTATTAGCAAGATACTACCACCCACTTGATATCCTTCAGCTGGAAATTCCCCAGACCATGTATTGTGACGTTGGTCAGAATTTGCTTGAATCTGAAATTCCCATTCCCGTCATTGAACTCTAGGCGAGGGATGTTGAGGGGATCCAGGGACACGATCTCCAGATCAGGGATTCCTGTAACAGTGATCAATCGCCATTACAACACAGTTATAAAAACAAATTGTGCTGCCATCTGTTATCAGCTCTTCAACGTCTGTGTGCATTATTACTCTTAATTGCTTGAAGTATAAATATTTGTTTAAATCTTGTCAGTCTAATCACAATAAAATTCCTATTAAATATTAAAATATTACTATAATTAACATTTAAATATTTAAAATATATTACATTACATCTAATGTAAATCGAACATTTCGATAGAGAACATCATTTAATATATTTTAAATATTTAAATGTTAATTATAGTAATATTTTAATATTTAATAGGAATTTTATTGTGATTAGACTGACAAGATTTAAACAAATATATATTTATCACCATCTCTTGAAGAATAAAATACATCCAGCCACTACACAGAGAAAGTAAAATCTTACATTGCGTGGAGAGAATAAACCCTTAATGAACATTAGAGATTCATCAACAGATTAAAAGCAGTGTGTAATTAAGTATCTCTTAAATGATACTTTAAATTGTACTTTTATATGTAGAAGAATTGTGAGATTTGGTGTGAAATGTTTAAAGAAAATGTTATGCCTGTCATGAGAACTGTTCTGAAAATATGAGAGGTTTGGCAACAAATCGTCTGTTGAATAAAAATTGCCTTGGATATTATCCATCGTCTAGTAAATATAAAACGTAAAAGACGACGTTTCGGAGATGGGACTCTATCTCCGACTTCAGGTTCCTACACAGTTGGGCCCACTAGATAGAGCTAATCGCTATCTCCGAAACGTCGTTTTACGTTTTATATTTACTAGACGATGGATAATATCCAAGTAAATTTTTATTCAATTGACTCTTCACCATCGTCAAGAAGTTTTAGATTTGATAAACAAATCGTCTGTTACGCTGATTCTTTTAATTTGGGTTTGATATTGCGTACAGCAGAATTAATCTCAAAATGTTCTGTTGACCAGCTCTCGGGTTTTATAACGACCTTTTCTCCCTCTTTATAGTGACCCTGTGTCAAAGTAATGACAATAAAATCTGTGACGCCGACGTCCCATCGGCATTCAGTGTCTTCAGCCACTTACCTTTAATAAGTTTCGGTCTGAGGTCCTCGATGGTGTTCCTCACGCAATTGCTTAGGTCTGGGTTACTCCTGTGACAGATCTTGAAGTAGGCACTGGCTGAAAACAGAGCCTCACATTTTTATACAGCATACGATGTCAAGTACCACGCATTGAAGGCGTATGGAGGGAGTAGCTCTACGTAACCTTAAGCTCGAGATTAGATGAAGTATGAGTGATCAGCTTCACGCTCTGGCCGCATTACCGTCAAGGAAAGAGCCCCATTTTCTATTTGGAAAGGATAATTGTGCTAGCCTAGAAGTTAAGATTATTTTTCTAATATTTCGTTAGAGATTAGTGATGAAGCAATAGAAATTCCTCTTTAATTACGCTAGGAGTTAAAAATTAGTGAAGACTTAAGGAATAATATCTCTTGTTGAATTAATTGGGTTATATTAGGCCTGGTGGTGGACTGTTTTGGACGTGGTAATGTATCTGTAATGGGTTCTATAAAGGAGAGAGAAGTGTTTTTAACAGCTAAGCGACTGTTAGCTTTTTTTTTTTAAAGGACTCTGATTCGTGGAGCTAGTTGCTGGCTTTCTGCGACAGTAAATTCTATAAAGAGTTTATACGTTTGAGTTAAGAAGCCGGGAAGCTGACGGTGGTCTAGCGGTTAGAACGCTGGCCTTGTAATCCTGGGGTCTCGGGTTCGAATTTATAACTTGTGTTGGGCAAGGCCGTGGTCTAGGCAACACGGAGTTTTCCTCCGTGGCATCCCAACAATTACTCCATTCACACACAGAAGAAGGCAATGGCAAACCACTTCTGGATCATCTGCCAAGAACGTATATGAACAGGTCCCAGTCCGAGAAAAGGATGGAAGGATCCTGTTCATATGGACCTGTCGTCAGACAGAACACTAAATAATAATAAGGTTCTGTTACGAACAGGAGCATTTGTTTGTGCGTTGCACATGCGAAGGTTCGCCTTGAACGAGGGAAAGAAACCTGCAGCTGCCCCATGGAATTTGCTGCTATGGAATTTGTTGATTGTTACGTCGTAAATGTTCTGTTGGCGTTGCTCCAACTTGGCTGCGAGGATTATTTTAATTACTTAAGATATATTGCTTAACATCGCGTAGCGGAGTTACTCAGCTTGTTAACAAATTCCTTGCGTTCCGTGGGACCCACCTACCAGGTACGACACAGGCAAATCGGCCAGAGCGTCAAGCTGACTTCCGTCTACCGTGGAGGTTTGCCTCCATTTCCGCCACACACCTTTACTGCGCGGATCTTAAATACAGCGACGTCTATTTTACACTTGGACCATCAGTCGAGGTTCAACGAGTATCGACTCTTTCGTTTTGGTGTCCATTTCGAATTTCGCTACTCCCCTCCTTCATCTCGTATTCCTTACACATCATTTTGAACCTTAGAACAACAACGGACACTAAAGTATTACTAAAAGCTGCCTAGTGGTAGCGTCATTTGTAAAATGAAGAAATTCAGCCGTGCTGCGTCTTTTCCCCTTGAAGTTCATTGTCCATTCAAAATGTCTGCGCGCACGGACACGGAAACAAAATGGCTTCGGATATAACAGAATCGCTGAACTACGTAGATGCACTTCGTTTATGAAACTCTACTTACAGTTTCTTAAAAATAATTGTGTTTCTCACCAGGATTTTTGGGTTGTTTCGCCGCTTGGCTACCAGATGTCAGCAGAGTGAGGAAAAATACAATAAAATAAAAAAGATTCATCATGTGACGTACTTCTGCACCTGAAACTATGCAAAGGGAGGTCGATTAGTAATTAAGGTTTCTGTGGAGCTCCTGATTTATAAACAAACTGCAAACTGAGCCTTGTTACCTGATGAACGTTAAGAGAAGTCGAAACTTTTGGATTTGCTATTGTTTAAATGGATTCCTCCCACCCATATTCGAATGTTGGCTCGATAAACAACTGCCTAGTCACGTTTTGCATATGGCGAACGTTCCGAGTTTTAAATATCGCCTCGGGCACCGGGTCTTTAGTCCCACGAAACAAATACCATAAAATAAACGCAGCATTGGCTGTACTCGTGTGTTTCACTGTGAAGATTTAGGAAAGCCTTGAAGATGTACGAGGTGCGATCAGAAAGTTTCAAGACTGCGCCTATAAAAACCCGTACAGTTATCTCAGGTATTAAATTCATCCATCACCCTCGAAGTAGTTCCCCTGGGAGTGAACACAGCGATCCCAGCGCCGCTGCCAAGCCTGGAAGCATCCCTGGAAATCTTTCTTTGTCAGCCTGTCAAGCACCATCTGCGATTCTGCCTGAATCTCTTCTATCGTCTCAAATCTCCTTCCCTTTAGCTGAACTTTCATCTTTGGGAAGAGGAAGAAGTCACACGGAGCTAAGGAGGGGGCGGGATGACGGCCATGGTATTTGAGGCCAGAAACTGCCGAACTTTGAGGGCGGTGTGCGCTGGCGCGTTGTCATGATGCGTCGCATGTGGAGTTCTTCCTTTAGAATCAGCTGACAGGTCCCATAGCCTACCCCAACAATGTCGCACAAGTCGTTGAGGGTACGACGTCGATCTTCGTGAATGGCCTGCCGAATCTTCGTAACATTTTCGGGCGTTGTGCTCGAAGATGGTCGGCCAGAACGCTCGTCATCATCATCGACAGAGGTTCGGCCATTTTTAAAACGTGAATGCCACACAAAAGTTTGTGCACGACCCATTGCGGACTCCCAAAATGCTTGCTTTAGCATTTCATAGGTTTCCGTAGCCGTTTTGGCAAGTCTTTGGCAA